TAAACTCTCCATGCTCTCAACCCTGCCAACTTTCTCCCGGCCATGCTGGGGCCTCCTGACTATGATTGTGAAAAGTCCTCGATGAGGACTCTTCTGGACACCCTGATCTTGTAGACACACCATTGAAGTCTCCAGACAGCTACAGGGAGGGTGGAAATCAATATGCTGGCTATGTAGTTACCTCTCAAGACACAATGATTGAAGCTGGGGCACTGACCCAAGGGTGGTCAGCTCAGCAGGCTGAACTCTGGGCATTAATCCAAACCCTAAAATTGGTGGCCAAAAAGAGGGTAAACATCTACAAGGACTCATGATATACCTTTGCCACCCTACAAGTCCTAGGGGCAATATATCGAGAGAGGGAACTCCTCTCGGCAGAAAGAAAGACAGTTAAAAACAAAGAAGAAATCTGCCAATTATTAGAAGCAGTCTGGGAGCCAAAGGAAGTGGCAACCATCTATTGCAAAGGACACCAGAGGGGGGCAGGATCCCATCACCCTGGGAAACCAATTAGCAGACCAGATAGCCAAGGCTGCTGCCAACTGAACTCTGACTGCTGTAACCAAAGTGTTAACAATTCACAAGTCTCACAAAAGCCCCCTCTTTCCTCCTGATGAACATCGTTGGGCAAGATCAGAGGAAACAACTCTAAAAGAAAATGGATGATGGAGACTGCCAGATAAAAGGATATAAATACTCCAGTCCCTGGAATATTCATTGGTAAAGCAGCACCATGAGCTAACTCACTGGGGAAAGATCAACCTGGAGAGCTTACTGGGCCGATACTATTTCTTGAGTCGCCTACCATCATTGTGCACAACCATGAGCATGTGATGCAAGGCTCGTGCCGTAAATAACCCCGCCCAGGGGCCACCTCGGCCAGCTGGAATACCAGCCACTGCGACAACTCCCCTGGAGTTGCTAGAGACAAACTTCTTGGGAGTATAGCCATGCTGGGGCTATAAGTTCTTGTCCTTGTCTGCGCTTACTCAGGTTGGGTGGAAGACTTCCCTACGTGAACTGAAAAGCCCAGAGTATTTACCTGAGCCCTTCTGAAGGAAGTTCTACCTTTGTTTGGGCTCCCCCTTATGATCTGGTCAGACAACTGCCCTACTTTTGTGGCAGAAGTCATACAGGGAGTAACAAAGGCCTGAGGTATAAAGTGGAAACTGCACACTGCTTACTAACCTCAGAGCTCCAGGAAGGTAGAACGAATGAATCGCACACTCAAATCCACCCTAGCAAAACTTTGTCAGGACACCGGGTACCCAGATGGATGTCCTACCACTGGCCCTCCTCTGAGTTTGATGCACTTCACAGAAACAAGGTTATTCCCCCTGTGAGATTCTATTTGGCCAGCCACGCCCTTTAGTCGCCCAAGCCTGAACAGCTGATATCCATCAACTGGGAGAGGCAGTCCTGCTTCAGGATCTAATGATCTTGGGAAAGACTTTAAAGAAAATAGCCCATGTAACCTTAGAAAGAACTCCCATTCCCCCTGGAAACTGGGTATACAAACATGAACCCAGGGATCTCCTGTGGGTTAAAAATTGGAACAAAGAATCACTGCAGCCCACCTGGTTAGGGCCATATGTTGCTGTGCTCATTACCCCACTGCAGTTAAGGTTGCAGGGCTAGCCCCATGGATTCATCACTCACGAGTGAAGTGAACAGCAGTACTGGAGGACTCCAGTACTGGACGATGCAAAGCCACCCTGAGCAGTCAACCAAAGTGAGCTTCCAGAGGACTGAGACCCAGCATTAAGACTACAGCCCTGCTGCAGCCATTCCCGGGCTGGCTGCTCTATGCATGATGGAAGCGTAAGGAGTCTAAAGCCCTGCTTTGGTCACTCCAGATGCTGACCCATCACATGTGGCGGAAGCTTGAGGACAGAGATGGATGGCATTCCAGAAATACCCTTACAGCCTCCCACCTTGAAGTCATCAAATATCAACTATTTGTCACTACCCCAGGAAGCTATGTTTACTGCCCTCCAGTTAATTGATCCTCCTTAAATATGATTGAGAAGGCTCAAGAGGAGGGAATGATGTGGACCACCCCAGTCTGATAATTTCCTGAACCTTCTGTTCTGATAAGGAGTAACTTGTGGGCAACCTTGAAGCAACCCAAGGCTGATAGCTGCCTGGGCTTTCTGTTTACCCACAAGCTAGCTGCCCCTCCCCTTAACTGTTGAGCAGCCAGAGGCCTTGAGCAGGTTGGAATCCCTGTTCCTCTGCCAGCTCTATATTAGGGCAGGCACTGATCCCCTTCCCTGATAGGACACTCTAAGTGTGCTGAAACTGCCCCTACCCAATTCACCCATAAAAGACTGTGTCCAACTCTCATCTGGGGTCAGAGATTCAGAGTGTTAACTCCTCCTTTCCCGTCAGCATAATAAACAGTTCTCTTAATCTCTCCAAGTGCTGCTTTCTGTTCCTTGGAGTCTGGTTTTCTGCAAAAATAGCAATTTCTAATTGGAGGTCTCAGTATCGCAGCCAACAATCCTTTTTTGTTGCTTTAAGTACCTACTATCTGACACACCTTTATCATGTCTGCTAAAGAGGTGGTGGGCTGGCCATAAATACCTTTCAATGCCTCCTGGCAATCAACATTAGCATTCTCAAAGGCCAGTTGTTTCAACAGTGCCTCAGCCACATCTACAATCTCTACTTGCCTGCACATAGATCTTTGCAACCTATCTATAAATGAGTCATAGGTTTCTTTTCTTTTTCTTTTTCTTTTCTTTTCTTTTTTTTTTTTTTAGAGGTTTTTGCTATAGGGTGCATGCGCTCGCCAGACAGAAAGAGACATAGAGACAGAAAGTGAGAAATCACCCTGGGGATGGTCAGCAATCCCTTCTCCTCCATTCTCATCTCGGGATCTTGGGCACGCACGCACACATGCCCAGCGTGAGTTTTAAGCCACTGGGTCTGGGACGCAAACCATGGTCGACTATGTGGGAGTCCAGCAACATAGCCATTATGCTAACTGCTGGTTCCCAGTCATAGGTTTCTTGTGGCTCTTGATGCTCCTTAACAAAAGAAAGGCATCTGCTAGAAGAATCAGGTATTTTCTTCCATGCACAAGTGGCAATAGTGGCTATTTGCTCAAAGACTTCTGGTGGCAAGCAGTACTGCTGCTCATCAGTAGCATAATCACCAGTCCCTGACAACATTTCAGCAGTCACCTCTGGATTTCTTATTATATTATTGGCAGCCATTTGATGGCATCCATCATCAAACTCTTGTCTCCAAACTGTATATTGGGCAGAAGTAGTTGCCATTTTTACCAACACTTTCCAGTATGGGGTGTAAGCTCTTAGCTTGTCGCTATGTTGTCTATCATCCCTGTAACATAACGATTGCTGATTCCATATTCACTGATAGCTTGTCTAAATTCCTTAAGTATACTATAGGTAAACATTCATATGTGGCTTGTCCCCTTTTGCCTATAACAGGAGAGACAGAAAGCATGGAAGTGTCCCCTTCGTGTAAAGCACTGCTTAGACATTCCTGCAAACATTCTCCAGGTGGATATTCCCTTGGCAGTTCTTAGTTAAGGCCTTGAAAGGCGGAGCGAGAGTAGAAGGAGCTGGCTGGGCAGTTGGATAAGGTTTGGTCTCTGCATTAGCTGCTAATACCTCTTTCAGAAGGGATTCAAAGTTATCAGGTTTTTCTGGGACCAGCAGTTAGTGTAATGGGTATGTTGTTGGACTCCCATGTAGTCTACCGTGGTTGGAGTCCCGGGCCCGGTGGCTTAAACTCATGCCGAGTGCATGTACTTGCATGCCCAAGATCCCTAGAGGAGAATGGAGGAGAAAGGATTGTGGTGTGGCCATCCCCCCTGGGAGTGATTTCTTGCTTTCTGTCTCCCTCTGTGCAAGCATACACCCCCTATAGCAAAAAAACTTCTCCAAAAAAAAAAAAAAACTATCAGGTTTTCAAAATTGAAGTATGGCATTTCTGCGTAGATGCTAGGCATGTAATACTTTTATAGAAGCATGTGGCTCTTCATTTAAGCAGATACCAATTTTCCCCCAATCAGTTAATTTAAAAGATCCAGCCTCAGGGTAACAAGGGCCATAGGTATCTATTTCAATTAATATTTGAGAAATGGTTTTGGATGGTACCAAGTTATTAGCCTGACTTAATAAATACAATGGCTCCTCTTCGTAAGCAGTGCGAGTGGGAGATAGCCTGTTACCCATTGCTGATTCCTGGGATCTCTGTAGAGATGAAGGATACCATAGCCTTTCTCCAGGCAAGAATCAGTGGGTAGGTTGTTTGAGAAATGCTGGGTGAGAAGGAGACAGTCTGTTACCCACACTAATTTCCTGGGATCTCAGAAGAGATGAATGGTGCACCTGTAGCCCTTACCTGGGCAAGAAATCAGTTTGTAGACTGAAAAACAATTACCTTGCTTGCCTCCAGCTCTGAAAAGCACAGATCTCGTCTGTAGCCTTTGGGGTCAGGTGCCGACACGGCTTTTGCAGGGATATCTCATAAAAAGAATGGACTTTGGAAGTGCTCAGGAGTAGAAGAAACTCATAGGCCCTCCAAGAAGCATGGCTCTGTAAACCTGACATGAAACACGTGCAGTAAGATGGTGATTGTCCGGTTTGATCTCTAGGGTTCTGGCAGTGAAGTGCCTAAAGCCAGGACAAGGATAGAGAGCAATTCTTCGGGAAAATCTTCATGGTACAGCCCAGAATGGTGTATTTCATGGGAAGAAAAAGTAATATCATGTATCAAACAATGGCATAAAATTTCTATAGCCCAATGTGGCTCACAGAATTTTAAGTCCATGTTTACTCCCAAGTGCTTTACACAAAGGGAACATGCCTCCTTACTACATAGCAATCTATTTAAAAGTTGAATTTCTAAAGGAGTAAAAATAGAAGTAGTAACAGAATAGAGAAAGCCTGAATCAAGCCGCTAGGGGCAGAGAAGCCGCCCAGTCATTTATTTACCTCCAGAAGTAGCTGAGAAAGGTGGGAGATGGGATTGTCCAGAAGCCAAGTTGACCAAAAATAGGGGTGTCCAGATCCCGGGTTTTTGGCACCAATCTGTCAGCATCTGCCCTGGACTTAGCACGATCTAAGAGGAAGCAGAAAGAAAGAGACAAAGAGACAGAGTATCGATGGACACAGATAGCCTGAGCCTAAGCAGCCCAAGCAACTTGCACTGTCCAGACAAACTGAGAGCCTTTATTTATTTATTTTTATTATATAGAGAGGTTTTTGCTATTGGGCAGGTGCACTTGCCAGAAAGACAGACAGAAAGCAAGAAATTATCCCCCGGGGGGATGGCCACGGCACAATCCCTTCTCCTCCATTCTCTTCTCAGGATCTTGGGCATGCATGCACATGTGCCTGGCGTGAGTTTAAGCCTCCGGGTCCAGGACTCAAACCACAGTTCACTACATGGGAGTCCAGTGACATAGCCATTATGCCAACTGCTGGTCCCCTGGGAACCTTTATTTGTAGTCCAAAGCAACACTACATATGTGTATTTCATGACATTCCATAGATAAACTGATATTTTACAGACAATAAGAAGCAGGTAACAAATCTATAAGGGCTTAGACAAACTGGGCCAGGTGTATCTCTTTGCTACATCCATATCAAAGAGAAATCCCAATAAACTTCTTGTCTACTGGAAAGAAGCCTAGCTGCAGTTGTGGGGAGGATACTTTCTTGCAAACATCAAGGGGGGTGTTGATAAGGCTATAGAATCTTACAGAGGCAGAACAAGGGTTGTACTTTGCTAATTGGGGTCAAGATGTTTCCTGAATTCCATCAGATGTATCTGTTGGAAGGGCCCTGGAAAATTTCACCCTTTCCTCTGCCTGCAGTAAGGGTCAAGGAAAGGACAAGCTGTAAGATTTGGCTATAGCAAAAAGGGACAGGCGATGTTTGCTAAGAGCATGTCCCCACATCCTCAGGAACTCTTTCTGAACATGTTCCTACACTTCAAGAAGTTTTCTCATGGAAACCTTTGGGTCTTCTAAGTATACCATAACGTCATCTGCAAATAAAGATATTTTCAACTTGTCTTTTCCTATTCGAATGCCTTATATATTGCTCTCTTTATTATTGCATTGGCTAAGATTTCCAGCACTTTATTAAAAAGTATAGTGAAGAAAGTGGGCAGTTTTTAGTGAAAAGCTTTTAGTTTTTTCCCATTCAGTATAATGTTAGCTATAGGTTTTTCATGTATGGCTTTTATTGTGTTGAGAAATGACTCTTCTATACCAATCTTACTGAGAGTATTAATCATGAAAGGATGTTGTATTTTATCAAATGCTTTCTCTGCATCAGTTGAAATGATCACATAGTTTTTATCTTTCTTTCTGTTAATACAGTGTATTATATTTATGGCCTTGCATATGTTGAATCACCCTTGCAACCCTGGGATAAAGCCTAGCTGGTGTGATGAATAATCTTTGTTATATGTTGTTGGATACAATTTGCATGTATCTTGTTGAGAATTTTTGCATGTATATTCATCAGAGACATTGTTCTTTTTTGTCATGTTCTTATCTGTTTTGGGAATGAGGGTGATGGAGGGGTCACAAAATGAATTTGGAAGGTTTCCTTTCTTTTGGATCTTTAGAAATACTTTGTGTAGGATAGGAGTTGACTCTGTCTTAAAAATTTTGTAGAATTCAGAAGTGAAGCCATCCAGACCAAGGCTTTTCTTTGTCGGGAGGTTATTTATTACTGATTCAATTTCATGGCTTGTTATGGGCCTATTAAGGTTTTCTATGTCCTCCTGATTCAATCTTGGGAGATTATATGCTGCTAGGAATTTGTCCATCTCCTCCATGTTCTCTTGTTTGTTGGCATATAGTCACTCATAGTATCCTCTAATGATGGTTTGTATTTCTATTGTGTCTGTTGTAATGTTGCTTGTTTCATCACATATTAGAGTTGTCTGGTTTCTTTCTGTCTTCTTCTTTATCAGTCTAGCTAATGGTGTGTCAATCTTGTTCATCTTTTCAAAGAACCAGCTTTTGCTTTCATTTATTTTCTGTACAGTTCATTTATTTTCTATTTCATTTATTTCTGCTCTAATCTTTATGATTTATTTTTGCCTGGTATTTTTGTTGTTGTTGTTGTTTTTCAAATTCCCTGAGGCATGATGTTGTATATTTGCCATCTTTCCATCCCTTCCTTATGCACATAATTGCTATGAGTTATTTCTCTCTTATGACTGTTTTTGCCTTGTCCCATAGATTGTGGAAACTCATGTACTCATTATTATTTGTTTCCATAAATTTTTTGATTTCAGAATTAATTTTTTCAGTAGTTAAAAAGTCATTCAGAAATAGGTTTTTTAGTTTCCATGTGTTTGTGTATTTACAAGGATATTTCTTGAAATTAATATCGAGTTTAATTCCATCATGGTGAGAGAAGATGCTGGATATAGTTTCTATGCCTTCGAATTTGTAAAGGCTTGATTTGTGCCTTTTCATATGGTCAATCTTTGAAAAGGTTCCATGCTGGGGTGAGAAAAATGTATATTTTGTAGTCTTAGGATGGAAAGTTCTGTAGATGTGTGTCAAGCCAATTCGATATATAGTATCATTTAGGTCCTGTATCACTTTATTTATTTTTTGTCCAGAAGATCTGTCTAAAGGAGATAATGGGATGTTGAGATCCCCCAAAATTACAGTGTTGCAACTTATCTCTCCTTTTAGCTCTAGCAGTCTTTCCATCTTTTATTTAGGTGCTTCTGATTTGGGTGCGTAGATATTTATGTTATGTCTCCTTGCTGAATTAGCCTATTTATTATAAAAAATCCTGCTTTTTTGGTTGAAATTGTTTTTCATTTAACACTTTGACTATATGTTTGCATTCTTTCCTTGTCTGCATTTTTTCCATTGAGAGATCCGATGTTAGCCTGATGGAATAAACTTTATAGATAACTTGAGATTTCCCTCTGGCCAATTTTAGTATCTTGTTTTTGTCTGTGGTTTTTGGCCAATCTGGTTATGATGTGCTTGGAGAGAATCTTCTTGGGTTGATTCTATTTGGGGTCCTATGCATTTCTTGGGTCTGGATATTTGAATGCCTCTCTAGATTTGAAAAGTTTTCTTCCAGGATTTCATGGAATAAATTATCAATGCTCTTGTTATTTCTTCTTCTGGGATACCAATTATCCAGATGTTGGAGCGCTTGATGGCATCCAATATTTCTCATATATTATCCTCACTTTTCTTGGTTGTGTTTTCAATATTTTTGATACGTTTTTCTAGGTCAGAGGTTTTGTCTTCTACATTCAAGATTCACTCTTCTGCATGGTCTAATCTACTTTTTAATACTTTCAAGGGAGGTTTTTTTTTTTTTTTTTTTTTTTTTTTTTTTTTTTGTTTTTTTTTTTTGGAGACAGAGAGAGACAGAGAGACAGAAAGTGAGAAATCACTCTCCAGGAGGGATGGCCACACCACAATCACTTCTCCTCCATTCTCCTCTCGGGATCTTGGGCACACACACACACACACACACCTGGTGTGAGTTTTAAGCCACCGGGTCTGGGACGCAAACCACAGTCGACTAAGTGGGAGTCCAGCGACATAGCCATTACGCTAACTGCTGGTCCCTCAAGGGAGGTTTTAATTTCCTGTATCACATTTTTCATCCCTAACAGTTCCATTTGATATTTTTTAAGGTGTCTATTTCTTCTTTCAAATTGTGAAAGGACTTTCTCATCTCCTGGAGCTTGTTGTCTCTTTTCTCTTGCATCTCAATTACCTTGGTCATTACAAATATTCTTAATTGCTTCTCTGACACGTCCACAACTTTCATTGTGGTGTCTGTGGGTGATGCAGAATTGATGTTTTCCCTTGGGGGAGAGACATTTTGTTGGTTGCTCATATTTCTTGTGCCTTTGCAATTGTTCCTAGTCATCCGGGGATCCATACGTTCCTTCTTAAATTATTCGAGGCATCTCTGAGTGTTCAAAGGTGTGCAGGTGTAGAAAACTGGTGATCTCTATTCTGCTCTGCCTCCCTGTTACTCACTAGAACCCTGCACTGTTGTCACTGATCCTGGTTGACCCAAAGTCTCTCCTGTTTCTAAAGAACAGGTGTGCCTCCAACTGATATGCTGATCTTCACCTCAGGAGCAAAGATAAGATCCCATGGCATGTGCTATCCAAAACACTGAAGCCCTGAGAGTCCAAAGGCGAGGTGGGAGGAGATGAGCCACAGGTCTCAGCTATCAGGCCCAGCAGCCATAGGCAGCCTGGTGTCCGGCAAGGCTGCTCACTTGAACCAGGCTCTCACAATACATATTGATAACTTCAAAGTAGTCAAATCTTTTGACCCAGTAATTATCTTTCTGGGAATCTAGCTAATGCATATCTTCAGTATATGGACAAAGACCTTGCACAAACTGTCCATCACAAATAATCTAGACAACAATTGAGATGTCCAGTTTATAATCTTGGATGTGAGGAGCTTAGAAGTTGCTACTCTCTTCTGACCGCAAGTCAAATGTTGAACAAACTGAAAAATACAACTTCTTTTAGTGATATCATAGAGAAATCTGAAAGTAGATTGATAGATTAGAGAGAATCATATTGGAGTAGAAACCCATGAGATGAAACCTCTGGAAGAACCTGTGCCAGAAGAGAGAAACCTAAATATAATTGACAAATTACTAGAGATTCCATATGGACAAGTCAGAGAGAGAAAAAAGGGAGGGTCAATCCTACAATGTGCGTCACCCATGCCCACATTTTTGTGAGTTTTACTTCCAGGGACACAACAGTGACAGTGACTATCAGAAAAATCCCAATATGCCAGCGTATTATGTCCTTAACAAGGTCTGCCCTCAGGAGAAACTGCTTAACCACAGCCTAACATGCTGAGATTTTATCAGAGCCTGCTGACCTGAGAGAAGAGAAATGCCAACTGCAGCTTGGTTTTGAAGTTGTACTACAGTTATGGGAGAAACTAAGTGAAGGATACATGAGACACTACTATTTTGCAGCTTACATTAAGTCTATTGCAAAATAAAAAGTTAAATATTTTAAATTTTAAAGAATGAAAGAAAAGTTGGGGAAATTTGCTGCCAGTTGATCTGCCTTGC